CTTGTCACTTTAGTTAATGGAATATATCCATATGTGGTTTGTCTTGCAACAGAGTAAATTTGCTAAGTGTCATCTAATTCAACTTGATCATTACTCTTTTTTTTTTTTTGGAATTACGCATGGAGTGAAATATGAAAAAAACTTTATTAGGATGATGTGAAATTATTATTTCAATTTTTCATTATCATTTTATTATTATATATTTATTTCCAAGATCATAGTCTTTGACGAGTTTAATATTTGTTTTAGAATCGTGCTTTAAATGTTGTATTAAATTCGAAAAATCACGTGAGAACGCCCTTGCAACCCCAGAACAATTTTTAACGCCTTGCCAAATGCTCATTTTATTTATTTGTCCTGACGAAGACAAAATATTTTTGTTGAAACGTTGAGAAATAAAACTTTAACTTGCTGAAGTGTCTGTTTTTTACAAAACTATGAATGCCGGCCAGGCAACCTCTATCTTCAAGATATCATTTCAAGGTTGTTTTAAAGTTTGTTGTTGATCCAATAAAATAAATCGAATTTTTTATTGTTTTTATAATTAAATTGTTGATATTAAGATGAAAAAAAAAAACAGAATTCTAGGGATAAATTGTATCGCATTTTCTCCTGTTGAGCGGCTTACATGTCCGAAAGCTAGAGATTTGAATTGAAAATAATAAAAGGAAACTATAATATTGATACAAAGATTTGTATTGAATCTATTTATTTTGTGAATGCTGAATTGTTATCGCTCAAGTCCGATTTCTTCTTCTCTAGGTAGAGACAGCCTCTTTCGAGATCCTTCTTTCTACGGTTGAAATCCATCTCTCGAATCCTTTCTTTTTACCAAAGTCTGTCTCTCGAATATCATATCTCATTACGCCGTTCGAATACTTTCTTTATTCTGCCGGAGAACGCCTCTTGAAAAAGTCCTACCCCAACAGCGAGAGCTTAGTGTTGTGAATTATCAACCTGTTAAAAATTGAGAATAATATTCGGGAAATTTCTTCATATCACAGATAAGACTAGGTACCTTCAGGTTATGACTCTAATCATAATGGCAATAATCACATAAAACCTGTAATGTTGTTTTTGTCGTGTCTAATGAAGAACCTCAGATTTTCTCGTGCATTTCTATCACAGCAGTCGCAATGTCCTCTATCTAAACCTGTAATGATAAGTATAATAGAGGCCAAGTTGAGATCGACATACATTAATGAACAAGACTTAAGGAAGTTATACCTTTTAGCATGTATTTCAGGATTCAGATAATAACTCTGAAAGATATTTGATACATAGCGACCTTTATTAAAGACACACCTGATAACCAATTGTGAAAAGATTTGCCTCTGTCATCTACAAAATTAGTTTTGTCCATGATTGTAATATAATCTTATAAGGATTTTGAAGAAACCTTTGGTTTGAAAGTTTTTTTTAATCGAAATAAAGGAATGAAACGTTACAAGTTTATTTCTCGTTTTTTTTTAAATAGCGATTTGTACTTATTTTTATTTAGATGTGTGTGTGTTTTTGGTTACTTAATCAATACTCTACTCTCACTATAAATACTTTCATTCATCACCTACAATGGAATGCTATCTGAATGACAATATCCCCCTAACCTTAAAGAGAATCATTGCACAAGTAAGAAGCCTTTTTGCAGTACATACAATTAATCATGTTTCACTTTTGAAAACTAAGACCATAAAATGCACCTTATGCAACGGTGAATTTAGTCTCGATTTTCCACACTACATGTTCTACTGTACGGCAATGGAAGAAGAGAGAGAAATTATTCGTCAAGAGACCGGCTATAATAGCAATTCGCCTTATGTTTCAATGGCAAAAGTCGTAAAATCCAGACCCTTTGCATTCGCTTTTTATAAATACTGGAAATCAGTTCAATCAAAATATTTAGCACAGACACCGGATCCAACTCGATAATTGGTCGAGGTCAATACCCAATATTTGTATATAACTATGATACTAATTTGTTATTTATTTATTTTGTCCTACCGGGAGAATCCTGTATGGCACGTGTGCCCAATAAAGGCTTTTGTTGTTGTTGTTGGTTACTTATACTAGAAGTTTAAATTGAAGGAAAATTGATATTCTTTCGGATTACACAGCCATCACAATATCATACACTACAACCCACATTGTCATATCCTTTATGGATCATTAAGATATTGAGAAAACTAAATAAAAACCAAAGTTCAAACATTAAATCAATGTTTCTATTTTTAAGCAAAGTAAATACCCTCTCGCGAGAAAATTTAAAATAATATTTAAAGAAAAATTACAAAATTTCATACATTATTGTAACAGAATATTTTCCGTGTTAAAAAATGTATCAATTTCAAAAAACTTTGGAGTTAAAAGTGATCAATTGAATATAATTATAGAAAAAAGGAGCTTACCTGGATCTGTGAAAGAAAAACAATGTATTATTTCTTTTACAGATCAAGGTAAGCTGTTTTTTTTTATAAAAACCTTTGGTTTATTTTTCCTAACATTAATAAGGACCGATTTGATTTTTGAATGAAATTTATATTTTCTATGATGAAATTACATTATTATTTATTGCCTCATTTAGTTTACAGCTTACATAAAGCTTCATTAAAGACCACACATCATTAAAGACTGCGCCATATTGAAGACCACGTCTCAATGGAGACTACATCCCAGTAAAGACCATATCTGAGTAATGACTACACCTCTCATTAGAGATATTTGATGAGTATCTTTTGGTTATTAATGGGTATTAAGATTCCACCCTTCAGTTTAGCATATAAACGCAGAATGATCCAATACAGTATTAGAGCTCTAAAGAGGCGGTCTGGTAGATTAAATTGGCGAAACCGCTGAGAGGGTTCACCACTGATGAGCCAGGCCCTCCCAATATTTTTTCATCGCAGTAAGGACGGTAGAAGTTTGAATTATTTGTGGAAAAAAAAACATTTGCGTCTTTTAATGTATTCGTTCGTTATATATAGATGGCGCGTTAGTGCTTTGTATTAATTTCTTTATTGAGACGAAAGGGAATTAAGGATGTTGTTGATGGTTTTCAAGATCTGACGGAATCAATATTTATAAGAGAAGCTAACCACCAAAAGGTATTAAACCAATTTTTGAATAATTAAAAATAATATCAACGATCATTTGATATTTATTTCGACAGATGGCATAGGCCATCAGCAACCTTTAGCATTTCTCTTAGTTTATCAACCTGATCCCAGTACAATTTCACTTTTGTATTATTTTTCAATATACTGTAGTTTGGCGTTATTGCGCCCTTACTGACTTAAATACCCAATCTCTTGGTTTTTTCAGGAAGTGTCAAAGACCAGCTTGTTTGTTCGTTGAGTTACAGCTATCACCACACTGATGGGAGCCAACAGATTGAAGCGAGTACGTGGTTAGATTTTATTGATTATTCGAAAAAGAAATAATCAACGAAAATATTAAAAATTCGTTGATATATATTTCGATAGAAATCGAAAGCCATCAACAATCTTTAGTTTACGATTCTGAGATGTCTTTTTTAAAATTATTAGAACAACAACAACGCCTTTATTAGGGACACTCGTCTCATACAGGATTCTCCTAGTTGGGTAAACAGAAGTAAACATAATATGTATCTATAGAAAGTGGAGAATAACACCATCCTTCCTCAAGTTGGGTCGCTCTTCTATGTTACGCCTTTTGACTGTTCTGTTCTCCAGAATTTGTGAAAAGTCAATGTATTGGTCCGCTTTTCACTAATTTTGCCAATAAATGTTTAATTTATTAATCTGATTCCAGTGCAATTTCAATTGTGTATACTTTTTCATAGAGATAAATCGGTTGACCAAGAAGTTCCAAGCTGTCAGCAAGACTGGGAGGATAATCATAGATGCCATCTAGAGCTACACCTGTCCATGCAGAAATGTCATATGTATTCTGTGCCTTAGAAATGCTAAACGGATGGATAGGAGGTAATATACTGCCCCTGAGTTCTTACAAACTTTGAAATCGAGGTTGAACCGCATCAGGTTGTCAAGGTATAAGATCTGGACATGACTGTGTTCAGTAAAACAGGTTTAATGACAACCTCAATACTCAATATTGTCGCAATTAAATATAAGAGCCGCAAAGTGAAACTGTACCGGGATTTTATAGTTAAAGTTCTAAAATTGAAAGAAAGATCGAGAGAGAAAGAGAGATATATATTCTATTCAACAACCTTAAAAACAAAAAAAGTCTCTCCCTACTTTGCATACCGCTTGAACAATTGTTTTTAATTAATTTTCTATATAAAAACATACAATATGCAAATATCGTGACATCATTAATGATATAATATGTGAAACCTACAATAAATAAAATACCAATAACTTTTTTCTTATTGAAAAATAACAGAAAAAAATCATTGTTAAATCTTTTTTAAAACGTTTTTATAAACCTTTAGCAATTTAACTGCCATATTAATGTTTTATAACTTGTAATAAGCAAATTCTGGAATAATTAAAAATTAATTATTAGTTGATATTTATTCCTATAGATGGCGCTTCACAATCAGCAGATGCCTTTCTCTTAATTTATCCACCTTTAAAGAAATTGTAAATAAAATGTATTGTATTCAATTATATCTCTATGAATTCTTCTATCTTTATGAGAAAGAGTGAGAAAATGCGGTATCTAGAAGCGATGTAGCACATTGAGATCCTTCCCCATATTTTGTAAATTGACGGATTGTTCTGAAGTTCGGTTGATCTGGAGAATGGAGAGAGGTAGATCAATGGGAAGTGCTGTGTCATTGTAGTAGATGACACCTCGACCTGGATGTCAGCCTTTCTTTCACTTGTCACATACCGAACTGTCACGTCCCGCAGACACTGTCTTCTAGCAAGATTCTTTCTAAACGTATGATGTTACTTTCTAAATAGATCACACTAGCGAATATAAATATAAACTAATTTATAACACAATACAATGCGTCTTTTTATTGTATAACGACATTTGTAAATTATCCCGCCTTTGGGTAGCCTATGGACATGGCATCTGCCCGGTAAGCGGAATACTGTGGGTTCGTTTCCCATCCCTGGACATTTCATTTTTCCGTTTATCTTTACTCTTCACAATTTATCTTTTCATTCTTCATCCCTAAGGTTAGAAATAATCGTTTTTTCTCCTTAAAATAAATTTCGATTTTTCGTTCAAAAGTAATACATGCGGGATAATTTTCAAATGCCGTTCAACATATATAAATATATTCGAATTTTTTCTACAACATTTACTGATTAGAAGTTTGAAAAAATATACAGCTAGATGAACCAAACTATCTTTATTTTCTTTCAGAAGTTTCAATGACTCTGACACTCTCCTCGGAGGAATAATTATTTCTGAATTCTATCTTCTACCCATATACACACTTTACATGCATTTTAGAGAATCGTATACCTATATAAGTAGAGAAAGGCATGTCCTCTCTGATCGTGCAACTAGAAGTTGATGTGGCCATCGACATCTGTTAATCTATATTAATCAAGAAAGGGTATTAGGAAAATTTCTGTAATAATTTGAAAAATCGACGATTAGTTGATATTTATTCCTACAGATGGCGCAAGCCATCAGAAACTTTTAAGTTTCACAATCAGGAGATTCTCTTCTCTTAATTTATCCACCTGATTCCATTACAATTCCATTCTTTTATGCTATTATTTCACATATATGAGTAGAGAATAGACCAGAGAAATAATAGAGAAAATAACCACTTCCCTGAGCATAGTGATAGAGAGTTACTGAAACGTTGGGAAGGAAATATGGATTTATATAACTGTTTATTGGATTTTTAACGATGGTTATACAGTAAACCTCTTTGAGCATTTCTATGAACTGGTCTAATCCAACCTCTAATGAACTTCCACACCTCCAGGAAAAATCAAAAATATCAATTTTTAAGGAATTAGGAACTCCTTAGAAAAATATTATACTGTATTTGAATAAAATATGAATAATATTCTAGATATTTTATAAACAAATTATTATTAACTAGAGCGATTGAATATCATGAGATATATTATTTCTTAAAAAATACGTTTCATCAACCGTGCAACTTTTAAATGCTTTGATCCGTAAAATTACTACAGCTATTAAATGGAACTTGAATTTCCTATTATTAGAAACCTATTTCTTTCTGTGGAAATGTTCAAAACATACGTTTGTTTGAATGACTGTGTCTTAATATTTTCTTACAAATATCATTCGATTATTTTTATTTGTAATAAAGAAGAGATGTGATATCTCTATTATTTTTTCCCAATTCAAATAAATGGATGAAATCAAAAATATTTTTAGAATTGAAAACTTTGAATTCCTTTAAACAATCATCCCAATTGGATTCGAGTTAGAATTCATGCATCACTAACAAACAATTACAACTATGGAAATAAACAATAACCTATATTTAAAAGAAATACGGTCACCTTTTATGGATTTTAATAACATGAAAATTACATTTTTTCAGAGAAATTGTTAATTCTTTTTTGTCATTTCCTTTTCTTTATTTAAAATAATTCTTGTTCAAAAATCACTTTATTAGGTACCGCTCAAAAAGAGAAACCTAGTTTATGATAATTGCAACAATGAATAATATGTGAAGGTCATTCACATATTAAACAAAATGTTGCGCGGGATTCAATCCAGGTTCTTGACTGTCGGGAATCGAGGGTGTTACCCACTCGTCCACCGACTCTTTTAAAAAATACTTCTAAATAATCCAAAAATAAAAAGGAACAAAAATGTCATATTGACAAAGATGATTAAAGGAAATTTAATAAATAGATCTAAACCTACAGTCAGCCCAAAGCTAAATTTTAAAGTAATGTAAAAATAATGGGCCTCTCATAATTTGAGATCTTTTTTTTTTTTTTTGCTTATCCCTAGTACACGTGGTACAAGCCATGATAATCATAGTGGGTAGAAGTTGGCGAGTTTTTTTTACTGTAAGTGCACCACTTGTCTACACATGTGAAAAGCAGTTCGACTTTGCACTTAAAAATATGCCAGAGCCCCGTTTGGTTACTTGCACTCGCTGGTGGGGATGGACTTTTGCAAGAATCGGGGGCCATTGGACCATTTTTTTTAATCAGAAAAAAGTGCCCAAAGCGGGACTCGAACCCGGGTCGTAGCGGTCAAAAACCAACGGTTTAGACCATCCTTCCACCAACCCCCATTATTTTAGATCTAATTTATATAACTAATCACAGGCATAAACTGATCGTCAAGTTATTATCAATTTCATAGAATATTTTACCTATTATCTATATATATAAAAATGGATGTTTGTTGGTCCGTCCGTCCGTCCGTTTGTCAGTGATAATCTTCTACATCGCTCAACCAATCGTGATGAAACTTTGGGAAGATGTTTAGTATACTACCGGGATGGTTTCTGGCTAATTACTCTTTAGAAATAACCTTTCGTTGCATTTTTATTTACAATAAAACGTAAATTCACTCGCAATCTGCGCCCCTCTCGCGGCAGACGGGGGATGGCGGCGCGCGACGATTGGCTGCCGGCGCAGCACGTGACCTCCCTGCCTCCCCCCGCCGAGTAAATGAGATCTCCCGGCTGACGGCCGAGCAGCGCCCTCTAGAACGCGTTACGATTTTGACGGCGCGGGGCGCTCCCGGTTGGACAGTTGCGCGGGGGCAGAGTGACCTCGCGGGTGCCCTCCGGGAACTACGTCCATCTTCCATCTACTTATATATTTGCCTTATTCTGTCTGTTTGTTTGTCTGTTTGTCTGAAGCTCACGGATAGAATGCGCGCTCATTGGCTGCAAGGGAACACGTGTCCTCCCTGCCCCCCTCTAGACAACCCTGTTATTCAAAAACCATACATCCAATCGCCATGAAATTCTGGGATATTATTAGGTATATCCCCGGAAAGGTTTTCGAAAAATAATTTCTTGAATATCTTGAATATCCTTAGAGTTATTTGCAGAATTGTAGATATAACTCGCAAGCAGCGCCGCCAGACGGTGATAGGCTTAAGCTTGCTGCTCCACCCCTGTTGACCTTGGGTCGTCGTGTGAGTCACAGCATGATGCAACAAAAACACTCTCTCTGGGGATTGCGGCGTCAACAACCTGTAAGTTTGTGCCTCTCTCATAAACCTGTCTATACAGACCACCCTGTCAATAGCGACCACTCTAGACAACCCTGTTATCAGCTGTGTGATACATCCACCTGTCTATACAGACCACCCTGTTAATAGCGACCACCCAAGTCAACGTTTTTAGAATATATTCGCACTCGGGTAAACCCCGGGCGTTGCCCGGGCCATTCGTCTAGTATGTAATATACATTTAATCGTGTAAACCCGGGCGTTGCCCGGGTCATTCGTCTACAAATTCGCAGTAGTTCACTAATTCAAACCAAAATATCCATACATAGGTAAAAGAATACTGGGAAGACTGACATTTATTAATGCAGTGATTATAATCAATGATTACAATGAAGGGCTATATTGTCTATATATATAAAAATCACTTTCAAATATTAACGTAACGTTCCATTCTCAATCCCGTTGGGCTTTAGATCGGCTAAAACATTTTTATCTTTATTAGTGAATATTAACTTTACTGTACTGAATAGTTTAGTATAATGTTAATTCAACATATTACAATTTAGCCACTGCAACGCGTGGCCGGGTTCGCTGTGTAGTATACTATCAGGACGATTTCTGGCGAATTATTTTAGAATAATATTTATAGCAATAAATATAGCGAAATTAAGACGTAGTGATTATATTCTGTGTTTGTGCATATATAAATATTTTACAGAAAATGTGAGAACGTTCTATTAGAATATCTCGAAAACAAAAAACAATACATATAATAACATATACAATATACAATACATATACATTTTATCTTTATAAGTGAATATTGACTTTACTGTACTGAATAGTTTAGTATAATGTTAATTTAACATATTACAATTTAGCCACAGCAAGGCGTGGCCGGGTCCGCTAGTCTATATATATAATTGCCTTATTCTGTCTGAAGCTCACGGATAGAAAGCGCGCCCATCGGCTGCCTGCGAACACGTGTCCTCCCTGCCCCCCTCTAGACAACCCTGTTATCAGCTGTGTGATACATACACCTGTCTATAGCGGCCATTCTAGACAACCCTGTTATCAGCAGTGTGTTACATCCACCTGTCTATACAGACCACCCTGTCTATAGCGACCACTCTAGACAACCCTGTTATCAGCTGTGTGATACATCCACCTGTCTATACAGACCACCCTGTATATAGCGGCCATTCTAGATAACCCTGTTATCAGCTGTGTGATACATACACCTGTCTATAGCGGCCACTCTAGACAACCCTGTTATCAGCTGTGTGATACATCCACCTGTCTATACAGACCACCCTGTCTATAGTGGTTAGGCAACCCTGTTATCATCAGTGTGTTACATTCACCTGTCTATACAGACCACCCTGTCTATAGCGGTCACTTTAGGCAACCCTGTTATCAGCAGTGTGATACATACACCTGTCTATACAGACCACCCTGGATATAGCGGCCACTCTAGACAACCCTGTTATCGGCTGTGTGATACATACACCTGTCTATACAGACCACCCTGTCTATAGCGACCACCCAAGACAACGTTTTTAAAATATATTCGCACTCGGGTAAAACCCGGGCGTTGCCCGAGCCATTCGTCTAGTCAATATATTGTTGTAATGTATAAGAGTTGTCTGAACAAACTCGCTACGACTTACAAGCTGAACTGAATGTTTATTCAATCTAGCCATCTTCTTATATACAAGATAGAGATAAAAAGGAAATAATTTACATAAGTTTAAAACAATTGACAAATGGAATAATTTTGCATAGCCAACAATAGGTAACAATTATAACACTTAACAAAGGTTATTTACATATCACAACATGTTTCCCCTCTGCTACAACAATCAAAGAATGTCACGAATCTAGACAACCATCGACAATCAGATCAGGCAAATCAAAAGGCGGTTGACATGCCTCCCCTCTGTTTAAAAACCAAATCTTTGTGGTTTTCTTAACTCTCTTC